TTTTTTTTTTAAAAAAAAAAAAAAAAAAAAAAAAGGAAGCATGAGTAACAAAAACTTTGAATGCATGAAAATGAGAGAAAAATGACAATTTGGTACCACTGACACAATTGTTTCACTTTTCTAATTAATGATAATGAGAAGAAACAGCTATTGTAATAGTATATAAGTTTTTTATAATACGAATATCAATACAACTTCTTACAAGATTCTGAACTTCCCCAATATTATTCTTTAGCAAAATGTACAGTTCAACTTTATAGGACCAAAAATTAAGAACAAAGAAAGTATAAATTGCAGGAAAAAAAAAAACATAAAAGTTGGTCCAAAAAGTAAAACAGAGAAATAATTAAATACTTCCAGTTCAGTGCAATAAACTCCCCTTCTTCATCATCTTCAAATTAAACACTCACATCACAGCTCCGGGCAAGTTGATACTTAACGGCGTTATTTCCGACGATAATTCCGCCGTCTCCAGGATTGTTCCCAAACGGTACATAAGCCGGACACCTCACATGTAAATGATAATGCCCAGAAGTAAACGTCCCAACTTTCCATTTCACACGACCGTCAATTTTAAAATCAAGCCAAACGCCACCGTTTTGCTGATCCTGTTTTAAATCTGGTCCATTATAAGGAGCAATCGGAACGTTATTACTAGAAACATACGGCGACCAAATATTAACGTCCTTATGACCTTGATAAACTGAAGGAATTTGAGTATAATAAGTAATTTGCTGATTATGATAATTGGCGTATACGTGCATTTTTTCGTAGTAAACGCCGATATTGTCGTTAGGGTTACGGGAGAAAATTGTGACTTGGATTGATGTGGAGAAGATATTGGGGGCGGAAACGTTGAAATTGAAGATGGTGGCGTCTTGTAGAATGAAACGGGGTTTTTTGGGTTGAAGAATAGCCCAGATAAGGAGGATTGTTAATAGGACAATGAAGAGGAAGATGAGAATTCCGGCGCAGAGTCGCCGGATAAGTTTTTGTTTTCTGTCCTTGTGGTGGGTGCATTCCTTCACTGACATGTTTGAGAATTTCCGGTAGTGGTGGCCGGCGGGAAGAGGTGTGGTTTTGGCGCGTGGAGCTGAGGAGTGTAGGAGAAAATTAAAGGGAAGGGAGTGGAAGTGAGGATTGGGTTATCTATATAGAGTGATAAGATGAGTGAGGAGTAGATGATGTGAATTGATTAGTGGTTCTTAGTAGTACCAGAAAAGAGTGAATATTAAAATTTTTATAGTTACATAGATATTATAGTTATAAATTTTAAAGATCTTATTATCTTGTAAAAATATTATTATAATATATTTAAACCCACTAAAATCATAATTTTTTTTTTTAATTTTTAAATTCCGTATCGATTCAAAATAGATAAAGAAAACATTAAGGATGAAAAAGACTTGAGTCTACTAAGTTCATGAGATTATAGTTGTAGTTAGTATTGAATACTTTATATTTACCTAAAATTTGCTTTACCTTAAATGGTTGCTTTTTGAATACTAAATAGCTACTCCGTTTATCTTTCTCTCCTTTTTAATATGCATTTTAACTCCCCCACCCCCAACCCAAATCCAATTATGAATTCATCATTTTAATGTAGAATCATGTATTAATATTTATATTAGGATAAATTATTTACATAATATATGATTTTTGAATCATTCGTGAATGTTGGATACTTTATACACCTTTTTTTTTTTTTCTTGTAAAAATGGTTAGTAACAAATGTTTAAAGTAATTTACAAGGTAATGCTGGAAAAGTGTGAAGAAAGCTTAAATGACACGTTTCTGTCGTAATTGGGGCCCAGTCGCGTTATGGGTTTCTCACCAGCTAAGGCCGGAAACAACTGTTGCATTTTCTAATATTCCAATGGGTTAAGGATCTACGGTCAAACCCCTTTATAATAGTCTTTTTTGTTTCGAATATATTTTTATGTTATAGTAAAGTTTTGTTATAAAGAACATTATAGCATAACATGAATATTGGTTCTGAAAATACTTAATTTTTATAGTGAAGTGGATGTTATGGAGAGGTATGACTGTATATGGGAATTATAAAATTTCGGTAGATAAATAATATAATTAATAAAATTAATATAAAAAGTATTACTGAGTTATACTGTTTAATGAAATAAAACAGCATGCAATGTGAGAAGCTACTTCATAAATTTAATCCTAAGTAACGTCACGATTGTCTTATACAACACTTTTAAATTTTTCATTCATGCAACGTTCTCCTTTGTTTTCCCCTTCCTTTTCTTCTTTATTCTTTCAAAACAGGGGAAGAAAAATATATAAGCTGAAAGGTTACATTTTATAATCCCATCATGTAAACGCTACGGCAAGATTAACAGGGTTAATTTTCACTAATCTTGTACTCCTTTCTATTTTTTAACTTAATTGATTTAACTACTCATGAATCCATACTGATACAATTAAACTCTTTAACCACTATCTTCGATTATAAGAGATGAACGGTGGCTAATCATTGTCACGAGCTAATATCACAACTGAATGTTTCTATTTTGATTAGTGAGATTGTGTCATTATCTAATCTCTAAGACAATAACGCGCTCTACCGCATGAAAAAAGGTTTCATATAATGTAATAGTGAGGATAGTAACAGCCTAACATGGGTGACAATGAAATCTACCTAGTGCACTAGTTAAGAGTTTGTTTGAATTTAGTAATTTTAATTTAGATTCCATATATTATCGAAAATTTACTAAATTAATATAAAAATTAGTTTAATTAAGTTCAGTAAATCAAAAAAATTATGATAAAATTTTAAATTCGAACCGATAAAATTTAAATTTTAGGTCGAAAGAAATATACCATGTATTATAGACAATATAACTCGAATAATGCAGCCGACCAAATGGGGAATGGTGCGATGGCCCTAGCTTTGGAAGGTATGACACAGGTTGACAAATATGATGACAGAGAAGAATAAAGAAGAAGAATAATAGCCAAGTTTTGTCTAAGTTTTTTTTGGGTCAAAAGTAATTTTTTTAACTAAAAGTATTTTTTTTTAAAAGTTAAGATATCTAGTCAAACTTTTAGATGGAAAAAAATATTTTTTGAGTAGAATTAGAAATAATTTTTGAGAAGCAAAAAAAGATTGCTTCTCCCCAAAAAAACACTTATTTGAAAAATATTTTCGAGAAAAATAAACTTACAAACACTTCTTGAAAATTTAATCAAACACTAATTGATATTCAAAAATATTTTTTAAAATAAGCTGATTTTATAAGTGTAGCCAAACAAGCGATAAGAATAAGAGTTTGTATGATATATTAATCATGGAATTGAAGAAAAGCTTATTAGCAACCATTGGTCAATTTTAAACATCATTTTCCTTGCATGATATTCCACCACACCTACAATTTCTCAAAGTTTTCCCCTACTCACTAACCTAAAGCTCCGTAATAGTCTATTCAATAATCAAATGAATCCACTGACATATTGCTTCTGTTATCCTTGATTAGAAATTCTTGGCATCTACATGTGAATAATTATGGTATCGTCGTTTTTACATTTTGCTGGTACTACTCTTTTGATTTGATTATAAATGATTCACCATAGGATTAATTAAACCGAAGATAAAGAGAGAAGTTTTTTTAAAATAAAACAAAGAGCAGGAGATTAAGTTGGCATATTTAAGAATTATATGAATGAGAAATTTTCCTTTGAAAAAAAAAAGAAGAAGAGGTAATCAGCTGGTAACTGGTAAGATGTTCTAAATCAAAAGACTCTAAATATATCAGAAGAAGTTTTCTTTTTGCTTTTTCTTTATTAATTGGTTGGTTTCTACTAACGAAAGTGGTATCCATATTAAGTAGGTAAAAATAGTGGGTAAAAACTTACTCACACTCAGTATTTATTTTAAATTATAAAATTATTTATCATAATTAAGTAATATATTCAGATGAGAATTTGTATTAATTAACTAGCTAAGAGATGGGTGATGGAGAACATATGGGTTGGAGAAAATTCTATCAGTAGAAATATTACACAATTCAGGCAATTTTAGCGATAACAGCGGTTTATTCACTACATACAATTACCTTCAGCTAACTTGTAAGTTTATTGGGTAATCAATTGCTGTTGCCATTAGATAAAAATAGAATTCTTGAAATAAGGAAATTCCCTAACATTCATATGACACATGGTAGAAAAAAGTGCCCCTAGCTTCAAGTAGTGGCTTAGCTACCCCTTTCCAAAGGGTGTCTGAAAAATTATAATATAGTTATGTGAAAAAAACCACGTGTATATATTATATATTAATTTTTTTGGCTTCTTATGTGTATAATTCTTTAATTATATTTTGACTCAGTTTAGCGAAAATGCGACTACATTACTGCCTTCAAGTTAACTAGTAGGTCATGTGCATGAAGTTGAATTCCTCCGGTTGATTTTCAGAGGCAAAATCAGTATTTGAAGTTTATGAATTCAGAATTATAGTTCGTTTACATTATTTGGTTCTAAATTAATAATTTATATATATTTAATGAACTTGTTAAAACAAATATAAGCTTTGAGTCAAAACTAGTAGGTTCAGCCGAATCCGTATCGGGTGTGCTATGTCTGCCCCTAATGATTCTCTTGGAAAAGAAGAACTAGTGCTGGAAAAAGCATGAAGCAGCACAGAGAAGCCAAGGATATGCCCCACAAATACCATTTTATTGTCATTTTTTTCTTTTGTCTGTTAACTTATCTAAGTATATGCCGGGAGGAAGAGTACAAGCTATGGGTTCGGCCAGTCAAAATCATGTAGTTGTCTTAAAATTTTTATTGAATATGTATAAATTATTAATTTTGAATTTAATAGCTTAAAAAATTTAAAATTTTGAACCCATAAATTTTAAATACCGACTCCGCTTACGAGTATAAGCCCATTTCCCACAAGAATTTCAAAGTTCACCCTTATCATTGTAATGTCCAGATTTTAAATGTAAAAGGTACACTTTTGGGCTCTGACACACCTTCCTTAGAAATTTCATTTATTTGTACTTGTAAGAGGTCCTTAACAACATCTTCCTTGAAGTTTGAGCTCTATTATAATCCAAAGTACTATACAAAAGTTCAGAAATTTCCTTAATTCTAGTCATCCTATCCAATGAGGGAGATACACGCACTAGCGGGGCAGACGTAAAATTTAAATAATGAGATCAATTAAACTCATAACTTTTAGTGCGAGATATAAATTTATATATAAAATTTTATTAAAATTATAAAAATAATAGATATAAATGTTTACCCGAAAAATCGGATAACGTTAAATTTAGATATGGTTCTAAGGGTATGCAAATTTCTTTGATATAAAATGACGATACAGGTATTTTTGCTGTAAAAATGGAAAATGATGGAAGGGGAAACTGAAAAATATTAGAAGAACAAGCACAATGAAATCTTAATGTCCCTTCCCTATTGCAGTCTATCTCCCCTTTTATAGTAGAGGGTCACTCATTTATTTGTAACAACATAAAATAATACATATAGTGGAGAACCCATGATGGTTTGTCTCTCCCCTGATTCTCGTCAAGATTCTCTCCCTTGGTGCGGTTGTAACGAATCTTGTCTGCGAGCTCGGCACTGACTCGAGCTTGGTGCTAGACCGAATCCCCAGTCTTAGTTCGAGCCCGGTTCTGCCTTGGAGTATCGATATTCGGGGCCCGTATCAGTCGTCGTTACCCCATAGTCCGATTCGGACGCGGGCTCGATAATGATATCGAGTTTTGCGGTTGATTGGTCTTATAGCTCAAAGCTCGACGTCTCTACTTCGAAATTCGTCCGAGCTCGCCATGCGGATACCCTTCGATTGAAACATCATTGTCTCGACCGGTCTTTATGACTGAGAATCGGTTTTGACCGTACACAGATAGTCCCTTCGTTTCTCAGAAAGGATGTGGCGAGGAACAATATGATTTCCCTGAGGCTCGATCAAATTTATGATGACGTTTCTATCGAACCCGATCTTGATGTATGTGATAGCTGTCCCATCGACTCGATTTTACCAAAGCATTTAATGTGTGTCAGACGGTGGTCGGCCACCGCTGATACCGAACCGTCATGCCTTAGTCTATAAATAGTCTTTCCATACAACCTTTACCACTTTTGCGCCTTCTCTTCTTCCAAACTTTCTTATTTATCCTCTCTATTTCGCTGCTACGGGGCCGCCCATACCAGAATTTTAGTGCTGTA